TCGATCCAAATTAGACTAACAGTAAAGCAAATATTAGACGGAAAATAATTGACCATTGAATCAATTTTAATCCGTAATTATGTGACTTCATTAAATCGCTGTGGGGTGGGAGACGATGATGATGATATCCTACCTGTCATTGTGCAATGGTAACATTAGTCTAACAGAAGTTTTTTGTTGTTGTATAGACTGTTGGGGGTCACTACTATTCGCAAGCACCTATTAAGGCTGTCACTCGAGGGGGTGGTGTGGCCACACTCAAACCCTCAGCCACTCATTTCACTCAACGTTAATTCGCACTACGCCGGGTAGTCATTTAATGCTGAACCAACCTAGGGGAGGCCTGGAACAGATTCAGAGACGACTCTTCTCTGACGAGCCTGACTGGGAATTGAAGAAGCCAGGTCTTTGGGACTGTAGCGGTGCGACCCCGGGTCCCTTTCATCTAAATCCTGCACCCACCAAGCACCATGCATTAAATAGCGTGCACGCCTTGTACGCAACGCACGCACGCCGTGTACAAACGCACGCACGCCTTGTACGCAATGCACGCACGCCGTGTACAAACGCACGTCGCGATCTGATTTTTGTGTTTAGTTTGTTGTCCTCTCCCCCCCCCCGCACCTCCGATCAGCACGGCTGGCTACGTATGGCGCGAAAAAAAGTTAAACGTAAATATGCATGCGCGCAAGCGCGCACGCACGCGCCAACGCCTCGTGGTGATGATCTCCTGCAGCCATCGAGCAGAAGGGTCCCCTGTGCGTGTGTTCTGGGCGCCGACCACAGCTGGCCCAGTAAATAAATGAACGCCTCGACTCCCAAGAGCTCGGCAACACCCCCAGCCTCCGGCCATGCCCGGGCCTCCTGCCTCCACGCTCCACAGTGCACACCCAGAGATGATGAATTTGGATTTTGTTGCAGAGGACAGGTCCACCGCCTGGGCCCCCCCCCCCCCCCCCCGATGGGCTCGTGGCAACGCAATCAAACGCCCGGCGAAATGGTTTCACTTGCGCACGTCTAATGCGGCATGGAGAGTCAGAAATTCAGAGGTCAAAGCGTTTCGATTCCCAGCTGAAAGCAGCGTGGGGCGATGTCCGTGTCTGTCTCAAGCTGCCGCCGGAGCTTCCACGTCCCAAAGTGGAACTCGTTTTGTCAACCCGAGAGGGATCACAGGCTGAGGTGACATCCAGAGTATGTGTGTGTGTATTAAACTTCGTTCGCACCGTACGTAGGCAACCGTGCTAATCGGAGGTACGGGGGAAGGACAACAAAAAAAACACAAAAAGTAGTTCTAAATAAAAAAAAATTTAATCGCTGCGTGATGATTGTGCATTTTATTTACGTGTACTCGAGTGCCTGATCATGAGCATGTCTCCATCTCAATGGGCTCTCCCCGACTTGAAATAAAATATAATGTAAAAGTCAATCAATCTCACACCACTGGCAGATAAATGCATATTTTTTTACTATTTTTTGCTATTTTTTATTTTACCAGGTAAGGCCCACTGAGCTATGTAGCTCTTTTTCAGAAGCGACCTGGCCACAAATGATAGCTCAACGAAGTGGCTTATCACGTGGACATTTACAGCAGTTAAATACCCTAAACGCATACATCTTGACTTAAAGCTTTCGTGACTGCAGAAATACATATTATTTGGATCTGTCGGTAAAGCCACATAGATAGGTTCAAAGAGAATAACAAAATCCTACGATGTTTCGATCGCAACTCAAGCGGTCGTCATCAGGAAGAGGGGGCTTCAGATGCTGTCGCCTCGACAGACCTGGTTTCACCTGAGGACGGCTGCTTGCGTTGTGGCCGAAACGTCGTGAGAATTATTTTATTATGTTTTATTTTTATTATTTTATTACTTCCCTTCTACGTGACTTTACCTGAAAGAACCAAGAAGATGAATCCCTGCAGTCACGAAAGCTTTAAATCGAAATTTAAAAGGGGGCTAGTTATTTTCTTTGAACCTATCTATATGACTTTACCGAAAGACCCAAAGAACCCGAAACGCATTTTTCAAATAACACGATGCCTATGATCAAATACCTCTGAATTCATCTGATGTCAACAGTGGTTGTTGGATCTCAGAAGCTCAGGAAAGTTCAGCCGGGACCTTACTACACCTGTGGAAGGTGAAGTTGCCTTGGGATCCCTGTATGTTGTAGGCCCATGCTGCAAGGTGACCAGGTGATGGCAGTACAGCAATGAATTCTATAGATCTGCTGAGCTTTGAGTTAATTACAGCCCCTTGCCTGGGCACTGTGGTTTTCTCCCTCACTCATTAATGGAATTGGCCAAGAATCCCAGTGCAATACCCTACTGAAACACACACACACACACTCGAGCATCACTGAGGTTTTTCCCTGGATTGAACAAAGCCGTTAGTATGAGCATTACAAACCATCATGTGCCGCACGCATTCAACGCCACCCAATCGTGAACACTCAACTCACTGGTGTCAGCACCACTCCATCTGCGCTTCGGGTGTCTCGCCGCGAGTAACTTTTTTTTGCACGGCCGCCATCACGTCATCGGTTTCATCCATCACTTTTCCTCCCCCCTGGGCTGGAACATCATGTCTGGGCGCCTCACTCAGTGCAGCAGTGAGTGCGGCTTCTTGGCCGTCTGCCAGGTCTCCGGGTGCAACAGAGATATTGTATCTCAGTGAGCGCCCCTGCAGCTTGCGAAACAATGCGATGGATTCTTTCATTCACCCGCTTCTGAAAAAGTGGGGTCCTTTTGGTTATCGGAGTGCCCTGATTGAAGGTTTGTGTGGGTTGTGTTCCGAGCGGCCTGCACACAAAGTTGCGCTCTCTTCACTGAATCTTCAGACTGAACACACAAGAAGAAGAAGAAGAAGCCTCCTATGTAAAGTGTTGTGCCCCGCTCAAATGATGAGCGTGGGATGATGGCCGCCGCTGTTAGCGGGCCAGAGAGAGATGTGGACAGATTCACATTTCAATGCCAAGAAGCTCCACCCTTCAAACTGTGAAGTAATGGGACGCAGAAATAATGAACATCTTAGATTCAACCGTAATGATGGTGTTCTGCCCTCTTGTCAATTGACTAGCAGAGGAAGGTCCGCAATGAATGAGCACGGACAACGTCCACCCAAGGCCATGCAGGAGTTGAAATCCACGCGTACAAAATACAAAAAAAACGTAAAAAAGTGCGGCTGAATCACTCATCGTATCTCAGCATCCAACGTCCAGGACACAGTGCGATCGTTACAGGTTTCCAATCCATTGAAGGAGATGAGGTGACCCCAGCCGGCGTGATTGTGACTGCGCTATTGGACGCTGTTGTGGAGCTGGCACCTGAAAGTGCTGCGGCTGACTTCTAAGTCATTATTTTTTACCGTGTCGGGGGCAGCAGGGGGCAGTGCTTCCTTGTCTCTGCTGCCCGCATTCACCAACCCGCACTGAGCAATCTGGCGAAGGTCTGGCCCAAACAACCCGCCCGACCCGCACGGTGTGAGGGAGGACCCGGCATCCCATCGTGGATTGACAAAAGGGCCGTCGTTCACGGACACATTAACATGCCCTGACACAAAGCTTAGGCATGAGCGTGGTTTCAACCGTGGCTTTACATTCAGCACAGCCTATGGGGTCTTCATCAGGGGTTGTTCCTACGTTTCCACCCAGTGCACTGACTGCCTTTTTGAATACACTGGTGGTCAGTCTCCAGCTCCTTAATGAGTCACACGATTAGACTCGTGCTGATGACACACACAGGAGCCGTCGTGTGAACAGCGAGAGACCAATCAAACGGAGCCCGTGACATCGCCTCGCTGGTGCCAATTTAAACTGACCCCCAAACAATGCAGAGGGTAGAGCGAAAAATGAAACATCTGTTATCATTGATCTTCAGCGAGCATTGCTTTCGGTATGTGCTCAATACCGTGAGTTCTTGAAATAACGTTGGTGGAGAAACGATGCTCAGCGTAAAACAGTTCTCTTTTGTTTTTTGGGAGGGGGGGGGGGGTTGGGGAGGACCCTACTAAAAATGGAAACTCGCACTCCTGAGGCTCAGAGATGGAACCGCAGAGGCACGCTGACCTCTTTTGCGAGTTGCGTCTCCACGCTGCACAGAAACGTCACGCAGCAGGCAGCCCCACTTTGGTACTGTACTCTACAATAGCCACTGTGAGTGGCATCACTGTTAATGCACATTCCCAAATCGGCTTGCGGTCTTCTTCGGTGCTGTCAAGGCAAAAATCGTATTTTTGTTTTAAATATTCAAAATGGGAAAGATTTTTTTAAATCGGAAAAGCATTAGAAATAACATTAAAGGCTGTCACTTGGATAAATGTAGTGCCGTTCATTGAATAACGGGGGTTTTAATAGGAAGATGGTTTTGATAAGAAAATTCACCCACCCCCCCCCGCTCCCCACCACGAGAATGAGCCCAGTATTTCGAGGACTGAATCTACAAAGGACAATTATTTTCTCCGAGACCACTTGGGCACCTTGCAAGCGGGCATCACTCCGCCAGCCGGTAGCGGGCGACAATTTGAATCCCAATCGAGTAAATTTGTGGCCAATTTCTCAGAGAGTGGCAGATTTGGACCGCGATGCCGGCACGCGATGGCCCACTCGCTCCGAGTGACGCCAGCGGATCTTTGGCATTCACCGCGAGGAGGGCGGTAAACGTCTCATCTTCCCTTTTTTATATCCACAGAGCGCCTTTAATTGAGGCACTTCGCAAAATGAGAAACGGTATGAACAAAGAAATGTTTCAACTACACAGCTGCAGCAACAACCAGGGCAGGCCCGGCGGATTTGAACCACGCACCTCTGCGACGGGCAGGCGCGCTACGACTAGGGCACCCGCGTCACCGGCCGCACATCCGACATAGCACGGTCGGCTGCGTACGGCGCGAAAGGCGATCAACGTACACGCATGCAAACTCAAAGGGCACCTGTCTGTGCTGTACGTTGCGCTGTGTCTTCGCGTAACCCAGCGTCGGTTGTGTGCGAGGCCACACACTCACCGGCTTGTAGTCTGGCAGCCACTCTGGGATGCTCAGTTTGCCGATCTCGACGGAGATTTTCTTCCGATGGCCGGGCTTGGTGACTCCGATAGCGGTGAGGTCCTGTTGCGCAAGACCACAACATATCCCAGCGGCTGTAATCACTCAACTGTATACATTCAAATTATTAACGCCGCAAGTTCAGCCCTTGCAATGTTCTACGTGCCTCAGCGTTCCTATGCTGTACTGTAGCAAGAGTAAATTATTCTCACATGTGGAAGTCGGTGCTCATTGCACAGGGGGCAATATTACGTCTCTTACATCTCACGCCGAACTCATCCCAGTCAAGCTTTCATGGACAATTTGACTCGATACTCGGGCAAAATGAATGAGAGTGGTTTAAAACTATACATCATAACCCAATTTCAAATTTAACCCCTATATTGTCAGAGCCAGTATCCAGATTGATGATTGATTTTTGAGTGAGTCTGAAGCAATGATCTGGCCAAATCTGTGTCGTTAAAACCCTTCAGCAGTCTCCACCACCCGCCTGAGTCATGACACCTATCTCCTTCCAAAGCTGGCTCAGGTGACACAGATATTTTCCAACTTCCTGGATTTTATTCAGACTTCCTAGATCCTGTCATCAAGATGCTTGCTGTAGACTCAAGCAAAAATGTTACAAATCCAATTGCTGAATGTGGTCGTGAGAATTGGGCTTCAACTTACTGGCGGACCGAAACAATCGTGATCGGCGCGACAGACGCTCGTGCGCGAGACAACGTGTTTTGTCCGACCACTGATGCGGTCTGCCCTTGAGAAAGAGCCTCGGATCTCAATGGGCATTACCCAGGAAATAACTTCTGACTCTTCTGACTAACCACACAAATGTGGCCTAACACAAAACACAATGTTGAATCCAATTTTAATCTGTAGCTGACTTAACAAAGTTCTAATTCAACGAATTTCTCCATTGCTTTGCATTCCGATCGGTGCCGCAGACCTCCGGGGTCATGCGGCTGATGGTGGGCACGTCGTAGCCGGCGCTGATGAAGTTGGACGCGTACTGCTGCAGCTGGAAGTCGCTGAGCCACTGGAAGATCGCCTCCGCGTCCTGAGAAGAGTCGGGAAAGGGTTGAAGCAGAGTGAATTCGTTCACGAAATTCACATACACCCTCCAACATTTTGCTCTAGCCATCTCCCACCATCTGGCCTTCTTAGATCTTGCTCGTGGTCACCGGACTCGTGGAGATCTCTCTGTCTCGACAATCGGCCTTGCCCCATCCTGCGCACGTGTCCCACCCAGAGCAACCAGGTTTTCTGTGCCTCTTCACATCTAAGGCACTCACCTGCCACGTCCTCTTCCGGACGACTGCTCGGCTTTTTCCTGTCTTGCCACGGAAATCCCAGCGTCTCTCTCAAAAACCTCAAATTCCTGGCGACAAATTGTCGAGCTTCTTAGTTAGGTGGGTCCAGCTCTCTGATCCGTAACGAAATCAGTGATGAAAATAATCATCGATGAAGCCCCGTTGCGAAAGTCACTCCCTGTCTGTGTGAGCAGCTACAACATAAGTTGAAGAAATTTACACGGGGAGAAAGCTAAGCAGTGATTAAACAATGAAGTGCACATTTATATACTGCACAGGGAGAATTCTGCAGAAGCTGATAAACGAAACAATAAATTATCTCTGCAAAGATAGCACTGCGCTTTAAAGCCTGTGGCCTTTTTATTGACAATCTTCTTGGTGAATGACCGAGACTCTGACTAAAAACCAACATTTACTCGTGAAAAGTTGCATTCATTATATTTAAGAGCAGACTAAATGTTTGATTACTTTAGCCGACTAGAGAGTGACTAAATGAATCCACAGACAAAGATGACTCAAATTCCACAGGTTGTCTCAGCTGAACTTGGACTATGAACACGACTGAGATTTATCCGACTAAATGAACACTGGGGTTGCAGGTGGAAATCTGGCATCAAAGTGGGCAGGCGCGGTGTCGCCTGGCTAATGCCGCACATCGGCGATCACCTGGTACGAAATGACCAATCAGCAGGGCGACAGCATGGCCGAGAGATGGTAGTACAGCAAGCGGGTTGCCAAGATCTTCTTGGTTCTTTCGGTAAAGTCACGTAGAAGAGAAATAATAAAATAATAAAAATAAAACATAATAAAATACAATTCTCACGATGTTTCGGCCACAACGCAAGCAGCCGTCCTCAGGTGAAGAACAGGTTTTTCGGAAAGACTGGGTTAGGGGTGGAAGGGCGCCTTGACAAAGGAATTTGAGACCCCCCCTACCTCCTACGCATTCCACAAGTAGTGACTAATCCCATATATGTATTTTCCATAAATATGCTAAATTCCTCTGTTGATATGCAAATTCCTTTGTCAAGGCGCCTTTCCTCCTCTAACCCAGCTTAAATATACGCTGTCAAGCTTGGTGGTGTTCATTCAGACGCTGTCTTTCCGATAGACCTGTTCTTCACCTGAGGACGGCTGCTTGCGTTGTGGCCGAAACGTCTGGAGAGTTGTATTTTATTGTCTTATTTTTATTATTTTATTATTTCCCTTCTACGTGACTTTACCGAAAGAACCAAGAGGATGAATCCCTGCAGTCACGAAAGCCTTAAATCGAAAGGGTTGCCGAGATGTTTGGGAGCACCTGGCACGCAAGGGGTCTCTCAAAGTATTCTTCGTTTCCTTCCGCACGCAAATCGCCAAATGAGGAAAGTCTCGGGAAGCAGTGTGGTTTTTTTTCTTGGTTAAGTTAAAGAAGAAAAAAACGATAAGCAACGAGGCAGTGCTCCTGCGTGCGTTCCAGTTCTCACAAAGCGGTACCCATTTTAACAATCCCACGAGGCGTGATGGACTTGTCAAAAAATATACGTCAACAGCAATAATGATGATAATAATACCCAAAAATATAGAAAGTATCTACTCAACGACAATAAATTACCACTTTTTTTTTCTTCTTGTGAAGTACTCACAATTCATATATCAAACAGTGGCCACTCATCCATTGATAATGGGATGCCATTCACCAAATACATAATGCATTGGGAGCTGGCCAAGTCGCACTCAATATAGTGCATTCAACACACACACTCAGCGCAGCGCTGCCAAATCACCAGGGGCATCGGCACGGCTCGCTCGGCGCACCCGCGTTATGCAGGCGCATTAATGGACATTTAAATGTACGGCTGCTCCGGAGATTGCAGGGAATGCATCAAGATTGACAACCGCAGTAAAAATTCCATCCGACGTGCATTGAATCGGCATCGTGGTTCGCGCAGGATGATGTGTGTGCGTGTGTGTGGGGAGCGGTATGGAGGAGGCTCGTGAAGGACGCTACTGGGTAATTGGAGGCAGTCGCCCTCCAGCAACAACGGAGGGCAGATGAGCAACGCTCACAACAACGAGCGGAGCGCCGGGCGGCCTAAAATACAGCAAGTTGGCACAGTAGGGGGTACAGCTGATGCATCGACCAGTCATCTCAGTCAGCCAACCCATGGCACCACCTGGGTCTGTCCCGAGATCTGCTGTCAGCGAGCCTTCGACACTTCACGTGGCTTCAAAGTGCACCTAGCCTGGCACAGGCGCTGTGCTGACATCATCGTCACTTAGTGGCGAATGGTAGGGATTGGTATTGGGGAGCGGTAGGGTAGCAGTTAGCGCTACGCTACGAACCCGGCGACCCAAGTTCGATTCCCGCTCAGGGCCAACACCAGCGACGATTATCTGAAATGGTCCTGGGCCTACCCTAGGTCGACTCAACCTTAAATGAGTACCTGCTGTGGTGTGTAAACATCGCTACTAGGGAGACAAAGCCAGTTGGGCATGGTGCCGTGCTGGCCTTCATAGGTTCTCGCTAACAGCATTTGTCCCAGCAGTCTTTTAAGGCTATACGGGGGATCTTTGTGTGGTTTGTATACGTTTGTAATTAACAAACCTTTCCTTCCAAGACGTGATGGGGTCTCTTGGTGAGGTCTCCCTGAGGCTGCTCACACACAGGGACACCTCCTGCACCGTGGGCTCTGCCTGCACCTGATGTGAGAAGGAATTGAAAATGGGTTAAGACAATTATTAAAACAATGAGCAGCAGACAGCAAAAGAAGAATGTAACATCATCATCAACAGCAACAGGAGTTTCATCATCATCATCAACAGCCAAAGCATCAGCAATAATAGCTGCAGTAGCAGTGATCATCATTATTGCCATCATCAACCCGGCCTTCAGCGTTTGCGTTCACGATGAAATTTGTTTAGGGGTAAGTCGTGTAAATATCATAACTTGATTTTATTAGTTGTGTCCATAATAGATTGCATTTGTATATATTTTGTTGAACTTTATTTTGGAGCAAATTATTTACTGTTGTATTTCTACCTGTTGCACTTATTGTTTTTATCGATCCTGTATCACGTCTTATACTTTGTTTTGGATGAACATTACATTTGGTTAAGCAACGGGATATTTTTTTTTTATTTGAGACTTCTGTTTAGTCCACTGGGGAAAAAATATTCTTCACCTCATGGGGGTTCATCTTCTTGGTTCTTTCGGTAAAGTCACGTAGAAGGGAAATAATAAAATAATAAAAATAAAACATAATAAAGTACATTGTATTTTATTATGTTTTTATTTTTATTATTTTGTGACTTTACTGAAAGAACCAAGAAGATGAATCCCAGCAGTCACGAAAGCTTTAAATCGAAACTCATGGGGGTTGTTTGACCATACTTCACCACGCTGGTCAGTGCAATTTGATAAAGGGGTTACCCCGGACTGGTTCAGGCTTGCCACTGATGTTATTTGGATTCGCGAATCAAAACCAGGCTGGTGAGATCCTCGCTCAGCACGCTAACCACTGAACCACTGCCTCCCTCCACAGTTGTAAATAAAGGAACTCTATCTACGAATAGACAAATGTTGGAGTGAATTGCACATAAGACAAGGCTATGACAGAGGACTCTGAAATGCTGTACATGTGGCTCGTCTGTGAATCTCGTGACCTTATCAAAAGCCCACGAGGACAGAGTTCGCCTGCGTGATGTACCCGTGCAGCGGCGCGCTCCACCGTTGTTGCGCGCCAAACCTGCGCCATTGGCCTGCCTCGTCTTTTTTCACCCACTTCAATCACTTGACGATTCAAGTTAATTTGAGGCAACAATCAACACCTAGCCACCGTGAATGCGAAACGTGCGAGGGTCCGCGTGTGTGCGATCACGACAAATTAGTCGCGAAACGCCCGGACATGCGCCCATGGCCACCTATGAATTGTAACCCTTTCACTGCCGGCGTTACATTTGGATTGCTCGGACGCCCAATGGCTAGCACATGAGAGACGCACAATTTCTCGACGGATGTTCATTTTGGTCCAAGCTGTTAGCGACAGTGGGGCTTATTCTCCAAAGCGTTGACGTGTATGTACAATGTTTTGTCAAGATGTGAATCTGGCCCTATATATATAGAGAGAGAGCCATCTGTTGGGGTGTACGTCTCAACATTTCACAATTATTTACAGCCCGTTGTTGATCCACTGCTGGATGAAAGCCTCCCGAGTGCTGAACATACTTCACAAGGCTGGCGAGAGTGGGTGGGTGCGGGGAGGGCGGCCAGGAATGGTTCAGATACCACTGCCCCCGGGCGTGAGACTAGTGGCTAGAAGTCATCGTCTCCCCGCTCCAATGAGCTAGGGGGCAGCACTCATTTCTGTTGGTAACTCTGAACCAGTGGCGGAAATTCCACATTCTTTTGACGGAAGTCAATCTCTCCATGGGATTAACCGTCGTTGATTTTTCACGACATCGTTCTCCATTCATGGAACTGGCGAAATTATGGCCTGAGTTGACCCACAACTGGGATTTGAACTCGCAGCCATCTTAATATGATATGAGCGCTCTAACCTCAAGTCCAGGTCAGTGCCCCCCAGCAGAAAGACCTATTTAGTGGGCGGCCAGATAAAAATAAATAATCTCAGGGCGACATCACACGGGCGACGTTAAAACAAACCTCAAACCAGTGTTAAACGCTGGACACAATGAGTAACTGTACGATTGGCATTTGTCCATCACGTATCCTGCTCTGGCTCTCACCCCCGATGTTATACCAACATTTTTCTACTTGCGTATAAGAATTGAGAAGGGGGGGGGGGCGAGACTTCAGTAGGGGGGAGGGGGGTTGGGGGGGGGCAGCCCCCTCCACCCCCCTGCAGCCCCCGCATGCTACGGAGCCAACCAGATGGGAATACGCATTGCATCTGGTTGTTGCCTGATGATGCTAGTTGTAATTACTGGCCAAACGTCGTACTTAGATTGTAAATGTTGTATATTTGTTCTCCAACACACCGGTTAGTGCTGCACTAGTGACGACTTGGCATGTTCTGTTTACGTGCTAATTTGCTGTGGCGGATGGTTGCAGGTTTAACGGCACATGTATGTTTACGCGATCTAATCCTAAAAAACACCTGTATTATGAATGCTATTGGTCGTGAAAGCCCAAGTGTTAAACTGACGTATTAGTAAGGATGGGAACCTTCGTTTGCACAGTACGTAGACAACCGTGCTAATCGGAGGCGCGGGGGTGGGGTGCGCAAAGGACGCCAAACTAAAGTCAGCAACAAGCAGCTGTTCTAAAGTCAGCATTTTCAACGTGGATTTCAGAGTGTCGGGTATGAACGCTGGCGTGTGTGGGGGTGGGCCCCGCGTACCGGATGACGGCTCTCCGTGCTCGTTCACGGCCGGGCTCAGCAGCGGCGAGGGCTGCGGCACGCCCAGCAGGCAGCCCTGGGGAGGGGGCGGACAGACAAGAGGCGGCACGTGACTCGCAAACACACACGCACGCACACAATACCAACCACCTGGATAAGGACGGTGGACTTGCAATGATGAGCGGCACACATACGGAGATATATACGCACACACACACACTTCCGTACGGTACCTGTGTGCATACACGTACAAATGTAAACACACGGTCATTATATAGATTTATTATGCACACACAAAAAGACCGGGGATTGCACCATTGGATCGGGGCATTGAAATTGCATGAGCCCCAATTGGAAATCAATGGTACAATTTCAAATCATCGCAATGAAAATGCGATCGAATTGAAATTGTTGTACCGCATTATCGCCCATCTCTTTTTATTGAAATGAATTGATTTTACGCGTAAAAATGGTTAGCGGCTGACAAAATACTTTTAGGCGGTATGTCGTACGTAAAAATGCATTTATTCACACGAAGAATTTAAAACAAAATGTCTACATTTTAACTCCATTAAATTGGGAATAAATTATAAACTGAAAAGTAAACGGGAAATGAATCCTGCTAAGATGAGCGTTGAGCATCACGGCGGTTCACAGCCCTGAGCCAGTGGTGGAAATTCCACATTGCTATGGCAGGGGTGAGGTATATTTTCTTCCCATAGAACAACCACTGTTAACCTCTTCACAAAGTGGTACTCATTGCATCGACTGCAGATGAATAATTGATCGGCTGAGTCAACAACCTCCCAACCAGGATTTTAACTCGCAACCTCCCGATTGCGAGCTGCTCGGTCTACCACCGAGAGCCACTTGCCAATACAGAACAGAAAACATACTTTACCTTGTCCTCGTTTGTACAACACTGGTTTTTGTGTTGAGTTTGTTGTCCTTCCCTCGCACCTCATGATTAGCACGGTTGGCTACGTACGGTGCGAAATAAGTTCAACATGCAGGGACTCCTCTACTCAGGAACATGTGACTTACGAACCGTCAGAGACACGAACAAGCCTGTCCGTATGTCCAGTCGCCTGCTCGGACCGAGGGTCCTAAGTTCAACCGCCGTGCAACAGATGGCGGTGGTGGCATGTACATCTGCAGAACACGAAGGACCAATGGCCTCTACGTCTACAAGAAATTATACAGCGCTTAAATGAATTCCCCGTGTTTATTGTAGATGCCGTACAACATGTTTGGAATCGACAGGAGTAAAGTTGGACAAATCGACTTACGAACAGACCTCGGGAACATAACTTGTTGATAAGTAGAGGAGTCCCTTACACACAACACTGTATCTGTTGATTTTTGCTTCGATTAAAAATGACTCTAACCGTGTCATTATGCACCCTTCTCATTATACCATACGACATTATGTACTCGTGTAAGGCTGAGTTGACCGGTTTCAAATATTCGCCACTGATGTTGGCCACGAATGTAAGTTTCCGCCAAAATCATTACAAACACTGGCAAGTTTACACACACGGGGTGTGTACATTACACACTAATACAAACCCAGTGTGTATATTACACACTAATATACACACCCAGTGTGTACATTACACACTAATATACACACCCAGTGTGTACATTACGCACGGGGGGAGGTGGGACGGAGACATCTACATACCTGTCAACCCCTTATCAGTGTCCTACCTTATTACCGACCAATTCCGACCTTATTGGTCACCCCGTGCCCCTTATAAATATCAACGTTCATCCTACAAAGTCCCATCACAAGGGAGAAACACAAACAAACACGTACTTTTTTTGCTCAATTTCCCTGTACAAGAATACGGGTAAACCGTGTGGGTTGAAAGGTATGCATCATCATCATCATCAAACACAAACAGGTGAACTACAGAACCTTCATTCAGACATTTGGCCCGTTAGACAAAGCGTGTGTATTTAATAAAGTAACACATGGCCATCTGCACGTGACAAACAAATGTGGTCCAGCAAAAGACAACTCTGGACCAATGTCAACCTTTTCGGACTACATCAGCAGAGCCAGGCTTGCTCAGCATTTGCCGCTGGATGACATTAGTCTGGAACACCCATAGTCTGACGGCTTTTGTCATATTTTTTCACGTGGAAAGGCAAACCCATTTGTCCGTTTATTCGTTTGAATATTCCCAATACATTTTTCATGACAGCTCAATGAGTTTACATGTTCAGCCGTATATAGTTATTAATGATTTTGCAAGTCTCAGACATGTACACACGCACGCACACTTGGGCTTAGCCGACAGCGTTCATCGTGATCACTCCTTTCCATTGATCTCATGCTTAAATTCCTGCCGACGGTGGAACATTCACATATGGTCAAACATCGAGAGTGGACCTCTCTCCTGTACGATCAACCCCTCCCCCTGTCTCCGATGGGGCAACCCCATCCGTCTGAACGCAGCACACCGGCCATGGAGGACAGGAACGCGATGTCATAGCAATGGCTGCTTTGTGGCTCCTGTTTGGGCACGGTGACAAACTAGTGTTGCCAACTTTTTTCAAGCGGAAAGTCGCAAAATGGACCTCTAAAAACATTTACTGGAAATGCCTACGGTTGTCAAAACTTCATGAGAAATTCTAACGCAATCAATCCAGGATTCTGATTACGTACCAGGCTCGCTTATACTCCGGGAATATCGCTCGCTCTTTAGCTGTCCTAGAAAACCAGATGAATTTGATGCCGCCATTCGCTTGGAGGCAGCTCTTACGAAGCCAATACCATTCGCTCTCCAATTATTTACCTGAACCACCCCGCCTAGGGCAGGGAAAACCCCGAGGTGGAGTGCGTCACCCCACCGAACTGGAGCCACAAGAGCCATGACTTTTATGGTGGGCGAGAAACCTTCGGCAGGCGGACTTGATGCACACAATTTGATGAATGGGAAGTTAATGGAACCTTCTGATGCGCACGTTTGAAACGAAGCGCGGGATGGTTCTGCACCTGCCCACGGTCGGTATCGATAGTGGGCGCTAAGGATGCTTAAGGTGAACATTTAACAAAGTGGGCCAGGCTGTCCACCGTCGTCACAAGCGCTGGCTTGCACACCAGAGAGATGTGCGAAGTGGTAGCGTCTCGCTTCAGGCTATGGTGCTGCGGAACAAAACAACTGCAAAACCAACTCGGAGTGAAAAGGGGGCCTTGACAAAGCGCCAGTAGCGGAGTTATGAGTGACTTAAGTTTCAGCGGGAGGGGCTCGTGCTAGTTGTCTCATTGTGAATGTTAGGGCTTAGTGCTCTAACCTTGTTGGTTAGTTGGCTAGGGTTAGGGGTATGGCTGGCATTTCGATGGCTAGTGTGGTTAGGGTCAGTGATAGTGCTAGTACATGGGGCTGGTTAGCTTGTTGGTTAGGGTTATGGTCAGTGGGAGGATTAGTAGTAGTCGTGGCTAGCTGGCTAGTTGGTCATTGCTAGCTTCAGTGGCTGCTTGGCTCACTGGTTAGAGGGAAGGGCAGGGCTAGCTTTTGGATGGCAAGCGTGTCATCTTCCCAAAAGTGTTTGCTCCACCCCTCCATTATAACCTCTCACCTTTGCAGTTTTTAAGCCACTCTATCCGTGGTGTTCAGAGCGTGCCTTTCTTGACAGCTGAGAGAGGGGGCAAGCAAGACTAACTGGCATATTGAAAACACTGGGAAGAAAGTATTTTCTTTGCACGATAACTAACGTTGGGTCAAATCGTTCTGCCCCCTCTCTCCTCTCTTTCTACTTTGAAGAAGAGCTATTATCTAGAAATTGGGACTGCAAATATGTCCCGTAAAACTAAGTTAATTGTTTCTTTATTGCATTTGTATACCACCGCCAACGCAGTCCTTCAATTGTTTATTTTAATGCGAGTTGTCCATCTGGGTTCCTGTATTGTAAAATGACTGACATAGTCAACGGTACATTAACTCACGTGATACGTAGACAAAGTAGCCTCCGTATACACAATCACACGTTGTGACAGTTAAGTAAGCGCACTATGCTGCCCTGATGATTCGTAGGTGGGGTGAGATCTGTAGTATTACCTCACCTGACACACATTCATAAAGTTAAGCTCACGGCTCTGATAAAGTTATATCATTGGGGTGGGTTTTGGATAAACAATCAAATATGTTGGAAATTGAGATTTGTTTTAATTGCAATTTTAATGGGGGTTTTCTCATATTTTTGGATGATTTACATTGCACAATAATTGATGCCTTCATGCAACAAGTGACATCACCAGAGGCCACATGACATCACTTTTGGTGGGAAAAGGATGGCCGTGACGTCATGCAAGTGATGTCACTTCCTGTGACATCATTTTTTTAGATCATCCGAAATGTAACATCTTGGCCCGATTATTGAATTCGTGATTAGCCTGAACATCGGGAACAAACGCCGATTAGATCAGTAGGCAAGGTTTATCTATGACACAATTGAAGTTCATAATACAATACAGGCCTCAAAACTTTTCCACAATCATTAATTTGACTTTTGACTTCCCAATCTGTCCCTAACAATTGCTCTGGGCAATATGTCCTTGACATGCAAAGCATTTTTTGTAAATATTCACAATGCCACGGCAAGCCGAAAAAACTTATCCACATCAACGTGTGTGGCCTGTTTAAATGAAACGGCATTAAAGCACAACGGCAACCGTGCAACCAGATTTACCCTGTTTAGGCATCATCAGCACAGGATAGCCCCAATACAATTGAACCACCACAAAGATGCCTTGGTTGTGGTGGTGGTGGTGGTAACAATGTGGTGAGCAGCGTCAGGGTTGGTCCATGACCGAGCGATCTGTCATGCCGCTTGGCTGCATGCCACTGAATCGCCTACACGCGGACGTCTCTGCCACCAGAGTTGTCCACGTGAAACTCGGGCAACAATCGAGCTGCACGATTTGCGAGAGCGTTTTGATTGCCCAACAGATCTCTCCGGGTGTGGAGCCGCCCTCGAAATGAGCTGGCGCGCGAGAGGTGATTCCATCGAGGCCAAACGCAAGCACACGAGGGCATGCACACACGACGACCCGGGCGCACGCGCGTGGCATGGTGTTGCGGAGTGCTCGGCGAATTGACACAATGAACGAAACGTGACACGCTTCAACCAAGGCACTGTGAGCACGACGAGACACGCATGGCAGATGGGCTGCGCTTTAGGGTTCGGAAGGAGCCAACCAAAGTCTCCCACCGAAAACTGTTCGCCACGAATATTCGAGCAGAGATGGATGTCTATCCCCCAACACGCGATGGTCATATGGCCCATTTGGTGAACGGTATATAGGTGTTGGAGCGAGGGGAAGGCAGAGGGGGTACAAAGCAGGGCACATTGAATGAGGTAACAAATAATAAGATAACGTGGAAATTTGAAACAATAAAAGCAGTAGGTGTGCACAGGAGAGACATGCATCACTTAGTTTGAAGGCCACTTACTTCAGCAATCCAAGCACACTGACACGAGGCAGAGAAAGTAACACACTGCGATTTAATACAGCCAATGCACAATGCCATCGTCACGTAGGTAACATCACAAGGGGGGGAAAGAAATCCTCGGAAGCGCCAAGCTCGTCTGGCTAAAAACGAAATCTGTTATTGTGCCTTTTCAGTGGTGGTGAAAGGCGGTCGTCTCCCTGCCCGGGGGAATGTGGAGGAGTTTCCACCGTCGGGTCAGGGCCACCAACAGATCCCAATGCCCCGTTTTGAGCAAGAAAACAGTTTGACTCGCATATTGACCGTGCACGCATTTGTGTGTGTGTGTGTACACATGTCGAATTGAATACACAGGGCCCAGATGTGAGTCACGCAATGCTTCTTATAATTATGACGATGATGGTGATGTTTTTTTGGAACACTTGGCAACAGTTTTTTTTATCAACGGATTTCTGTCATATAATTAATGAAGATGAGCATATTACGATTGATGATAAAGTTTAGCTACGCTGTATATACACACACACACACCGTTTTGCATTACAGTACTACGAACGAAACAGTTAATTTTACCATCTAAATGCTAACCGCTTACATTTCTGAGAATCGTGTTGAATTTAAGCACACGACTAAAAAACCTGAAACAAAAATCCCCTTCAATAAGGCCCAGAATATGGTGTATCAAATAAGCAGATGCCAAACTATTGCTCCAGATCCACTCCCACTCCATCTGGAAAACTAATCCAGTCCGTGTTATGCAGCATAGCACACGTGCAGTGCGTTTGCGACCACCGCTGCATCACTAACAGGACGCAACATGTGAAAGCGTGAGACCCATACATCACTTGCAAGACCAGACGTGTAAAACCCACATTGAACATTACTCCATTGTCGAATGGAGCGACATTCAATGCACAATTTCCATGAGGAATGCAACTAAACCTTAATCGATTGCGCAGCTAATTATTTTTAACTGTCCTGCATTATATGACCAACTACTACTACACTTGCCAAACCTTTCAGTTAATTTGGTTAAATTCGTCTCGACCTGAATCTTGTGTCGTTTGAAGGGGGGGGGGGGTAGTGTTAAATGGGAATGGCGAAGCTTCCGTGGATTTCTACGCTCCCCTTTCCCCCCCCTCCCTCCCGGCGACGTTGAGAGAGCCGGGCGACGGTAAACTGTCGGGAGTTGCCACGGAAGGATAGCGGGCGATCGATTGCGGCGGTGGCGGCGGCGGCATGCAGCATCATTGAGCAGAAACATGGGCGCGGGAGCTTGGGACGAGCGAGGAGGGGACTGACGGGTGGCAGAACCCACACAGCAACGAAGACGACAGAAAATAACCCTCCACAAGGGGCAAGATCCGAGGCTGCGGTGGCCCAGAATCCACCGAGGGTAATTATTATATTTTTGGATCTAAAGTGCGCTCAGGAATTTGGAAAACCAATGGCGGACTATTGGTCCATCATTGGAACATGGACTGTTCGTTTAAGTGTGCAACCGCGTGTGACTGAGTTTGAACATTTAACGGAATGTAAAACAATGAGCACACATATATCGTGTATGCGTCAGGTGTGAACACTTGAAATTGACATTGGTTTCATTTGCAATTCGTGAAAAAGGTGTAAAGTGCTAAAATAGCCTTTTTATATTTATAAAAATACCTCTTAACCTGGGTGAAGCCATTATGAGTGACTCATTTCGTGTGAAATGAAGGGACCATTCTCAAGCACATCTACCCACACACAAGCAATGCACTCCTTGCATCATGAAGATGACAATCCCTACTGTATCTTAAAGAATTACTGGAATGAGTGTCATTAGCGAGCATCTTTCTATGGTGCAATAGATGGTAGTTGCGTGGCTAGAACATCTGGCCGCCTTTGTCTCCCCAGTACTAGTGTTCACACACTGCAACAAGTTCTCATGTTATGCTCAGCAGACCTAGAAAGAATTCCCTGTCAAGGTGCTGATTCCACCTGCCACTCAGCTGAGCATGACCAGGTATCAAACCTGCATATCTGGGATTGGAGGCCTACGTGGTAACCATTATATAAATCAAATAAATTCACGGACTTTGTCAATCCATTGCTAGATGAAGGCCTCACTGCCCAAGCCGTGTTGGTCATGGGGCTTGTTGGATCATACTTCACCATACTGTTAAGTGCAGTTAGACCTGATTGGATATCACTCGTCAATGATTTTAGCCACCTGGTCAGATGGCTCAGCGGTGAAGTGAGCGCCTTGTCGACTGATGGTTGCAAATCAAAATCCTGATTGGATATTGACTCAGTCCATCATCCCGCCGAGGTCGATAAATTGTGTACTACTCTGGGAAAGTAAACTGTGGTTGTCCTATGAATTGACCTGCCCCTGCCATAGGCATGTGTAGTGTATATTTAACCCCTGGCTCAGGGCTGTGAACCGGAGATGAGTACCACCTCACTGCTCATTTTAGCAGGAAATCACTTTGACGTGGCATCAGCCGTGGTTGGGAACTGAATCGCCGGCTTCATTGCGCAGTGCACTGACAACTGTACCAACTGCTCCATCATCTGTTAACCGTTTCTAATGAAGACCTTTCACCCAATCTTAATCCGCCAATCGATGAAGGCCTCCTAAATCCATGTTGATCACACATTTTTTTATTATCATGTACCATACTTCATCACGGAAGGTCAGTGTGGGTTGATAGAGAGATAGCGAGCGACCAATTCTGATATTGCTCGTGACTGATGTTAGCTCTTGACCATTGTACCACAGTCACAACCCAAGCAAGGCACGCGGGCAGACGGGCCTACCAATTTAAAGTTGAATGTGGCAGAGAGCGCACCTATCCGAAATCTGAACCCCTCCTGTCCAGGTGAATATGTCCTGCTATGCGATGGCACCACTACCACCCCAGAAGACACTATTATTACCGCTCGGTTGAGAAATTAAATTGTGCCTTTGCTCGGATGCACGCGCAATGTGCGACATTCGACTTCTGCCAGAGAATGCGACACCAGGCTCCGGCTAAAACTATTTCAGCTCTCGCTGGTGGGGTGAAATGGAACCTAAGACCAGGCTATAATGGAAATTGGAAACACATCAGTCACGTCTTACAAAAGAAAGGAAAAGGTTATCTTTAAAGTACTGAAGTGAAATGAAATGTGTATAAGTTAAAGTAATTACTTTCAGCCCTTTGTCAATCTGGTGATGGCTGAAGGCCTCCCTGCACCGTGTTATTCGTGGGGGAGGGGTTGTTTGACCATAATTCACCATGCAGGGCAGTGTGGGCTGCTGAATGGGTGAGAGGGCCATGGTTCTGTTCAGAGGTCGCTAGTCACTGATGTTAGCCGTGACTGGGAATTGAACTCGGTTGCCAGGTAGAGAGCACAGTTTGTGAACAACTGCACAACCACTTTGGTATTATTTACAATAAACTATTATTTAATATTAAGTATTATGTCACGACAAGCTAATATTTTGAGTATGGTCTCCTTCTTCAGGGCAGAGAGAGACATAGAAGGAAAGCTAAATTTTGTGGCCTACAGCTCGATATGACGCCTTACCATGTGGTGCCATGAGAATTCTATTACATTTCAGAGTTTAAAAAAATGTGTTTCTCCACGAGCAACCATTTTGTAACACGAAACCTTTACAGGTAATAAGGTGCTATGAAGTAGGGCCATCATTGCCTGGCACGTCACCTATTATATAAAACAGTATATATATTTAAGGAAGCGGAATTGCCCAATGGGTTTTGTTTTAGTTGTGTGTGCGTTGTGCACGACTGCCAATACAGAATAACCAAATACATTTAAAACGAATTTTTTTGGAACCATTTTTTTGTGTTCAGTTTGTTGTCCTTCCCCCCACACCCCCGATTAGCACGGTTATCTACGTACGGTTTAAAAGAAGTTCAACATACATACACAATTAGTTTTAGTGGCTTATTAAGTATTATCTTAATATACGCATGGTGGCTGGGAATATGAGCGCTGATGGCAGCCTCTGGGGGCAGAGCTGGCCGTTTGACGAAAGAGATGATTTTGACTACAGCAAAGGAGTCCGTGAGTCTAGCCACTCGTGCTCTGGGCTTTAGTAGGCACAGGACCCAAAGGCGGGGAGTGGAGGGAATGGAGTTGGCAGCTATGTACGCCAACCATGGCACAATGCCCCCCCCCCCCCGCCGCCGTGATTTGAGACTGAATAATTCATTCTCGGTTTACCTTGTGGTGCACGGAGCGTCTCCAGTGGCTGCGGGATTTAAGTGAACCGGCTCCACACAACAAATTAAAGTATTGGCGGTACACCTGGTGCACGGTAAAACAAAAACAAAATCGTTATGATTATTTATCTTCCAGCGATTCACAACCCCAGTCGAAACATCTTGCGGGGTGCGTCAAAATCAATTCTCGTGAGCAGTCGGAAGACAAATGTCAGTTGAAATTTTGATTTTAGACTGTTTTATGAGGACCGATGTGTTATGCCGCACCGGTGTACCGCCAATAAGTCCAAATGCCAATTGCAACGCTTACGTCCACGATACTGCGTGCGTAGCGCGAGCAGAATAATACATTTTTAACGGCTGAATCGATGTGTCATTACACACAGCTGTAGATTTATAATTCTGATGCGTAACTGCTAGCACCCCATCCCCAGTCTCTTCCATTAATGGACTCTGCTGTGCCGACTCAAGCCTCATTAAATGGGAGAGAAATTTCAGGTTGATGATAACTAAGATCCATTTGCCGTAGTCGAAACCTGTTCATCAAAACAACGGTGAACCCCAGGCGTTAAAAGCTCTCCTTTGGTTAAAGGGCACATTTTACAGCATTTCAACTGAACGTCTTTTTAAGAACCATATTGTCGTTTGGGAGAAGTTTTCAACCACCAGATTGTAAAACATCTATAAAGTACCAATATTTACAATTAATATTGTCATGTTATTGGCGTAAACAGCTGACTCTGGACTTTGAGTCGCAATGTTTCTCTCTCTTCTCCATCTCTCTCTCTGTGTCTGATGAAGGGGCACTGCGCACTGTGCGAAATTATTGCTTCAGTTGGAAGGCGGTTGTTTGATGGCGGCAACGTGCTTTAGTCAAAAGCTGCTCTGGCTCTGCTACGTGCATCAGAACTGAACACTGACGTGTCCTCTTTTGATTTCCAACTTCCATCCACGTGGATCCCCTCGCCTCTGAAGTCAGATTCAAAGAGCCAGATTCTCATCTTGATCACTTCAGATTTATTTTTTGGCCAGGAGACATCAATATATATGTGGGTTCGTGAACCCATGTGTGGAACTTTGTGTGAAATCCTCTGATATGCATCGTGGGTTTTCTATGTGCACTTCTCTTTCTTCCCACATGAAGAAAAACAAACATCGTTTCAAGAGTAATTGGCCAAACATACCCAATGCAGGATCCTCATGAAAATTACAATTCAGACTCAGTGAGGCTCTTATGGATAAAAAAAAACGAATCGATGTTTTAATATTTATAGTTATGATGACATTATTAGACGTTAATTTAGATTTAAGTAACAACAGATAAGTGTTATTATGCTTGAGCGCGTTCAGCTGTATAATCAACATTCTGTCTGGTGATTGTCTTCTGCCCACGATCAACCTAAGTCAAAATACTTGGTCACAATGACGGTCCGAAAAAAAAAAACATTGTCAAATTATTGCGTGACTTAACTTATTTAAATTCCAGCTCTGACAATCATTGCAGGGCGCATAACAAAACAAATTACATCCGAAGGATCTTTTGGAAGTATTTATCGAACAACATCTGCCGGGAACCAATCATTGACGCGCGGTGGTGCACCGCTCCGTTGGGAGAGTTTCCGAAAGTAAATGTCTCCATCTCAAGACAAGCATGGCACCAACAGTACATCTGGACTGTAACCGTGGTAAACCATTACCCGGTACGCCGCAGCAATTGCAATGCATTCCCTCTACCGTGTCCCAATATCTCGAACATCCACACAACGATAACCCCCCCCCCCACCGCCTCGACGGTTCCGTCCACCTTGAGCAGTGTCAAGAGGTTGGGCAGCGCTCTCACCTTGCTGCCCTCGGTGGGGCCCACGAGGGGTGGTGGGGGCCCGTTGGCGCTGCCCATGCTCTGCCCGCTCCCGGAGCTGCGCACGCTCACGGCGCTTCCGGTGCTGCCGCTGCTGCGTCGGTCCCCTGGGGGTCGAGGGGTTGGGGGTGGTGGCGATAGCAGGAGGGGAGACGGAGCAAGAGTGGGTGTCAGAAGAGATACACAGAGGGAGAAGAGGGTGTGGGGAGACAGGGCAAGAATTGTGTCAAGGTTAATTGGATCCTGTCGCCACGACATGCCAAAACAAGGTACACGTGTGAGTGTACGATTGCAGGTATGGTGTGTGTGTATATATATGTACACACCGAATATATGATTTCAAGTGCTTTGGCCAGCAGTGCAAGCCATTAACTGTGTTTGTCTGCACAAATTACTTGTTTTATCTGAAAAGGCACAGACTAACGTGAATAATACGACGAATGTGTCATCATTTCTAATGGTGACTCTACAACACACCGGTGTGCTGAACTAGTAACTAACTGGCGTGGTTTTATTTACGTGACAAACCTCACTAAGCGGCTGTGTTGGGTGGTGGCAGGTCTAACGACACGTTTATATTTACGCAAACTAACCCGAAGAAAAACCTCAATTGCGGGTAATAGCATGAATACAGCACTTTTGGGAGACCGCGTCTGGGCGATTCGTCCATGCGAACGCTTGGACAATAGCATCAATCTTCCACCACACCTGGGTCACGTGCTCTCATCGGCACAAGAGTTGGAATGGGGAAAGAATGGGCACACGGACAATGGTGGGAGACAAGAGGAGGAAGCGGGTGGCAGTCACATGGACAAGAGGGCTGCAGAGTGTCCTGTGTCTGGCTCGGCCGGATGCTGCCTGGCCAGGGGGACTCATCAGCAGAGCGAGCGACTCACAGTGAGAAGGGATTGCGAGTTCAAATCCTCGAGGGGGTTTGACTCAAAACCCATCGTCCTTCTGGTGTAGAAAAAAATAAGTACCACTTCGTGGGGAAGTCAACATTATTATTTTATTTCTATTATAATTTCTATTATTTGTATTATTATTTTAATATTATTTATCTATTTATTTATTTTTACCTACGTGACTTTACCGAAAAAACCTAAGAGTATGAATCCTTGCAGTCACAAAAGCTTGAAATCTAGGAAGACAACAGCGGTTGTCCTACGGAATAAATTTACGGCCACCGCTGGGTCAGTGGCTGTGAACGCGACATGAGCACCGATGCCTCAGTGGTCACGAGCAGGAAACCGCTGTGACACCTTCAATGGATAGTGAACCGTTACACCCCGAATGCTACCCCGCGTGCCATCGATACCGCAAACACTCGTCGAGTCACTGATTTAGTAGCCTTAATTTGTTTCGCACTGTTCATACGAAGTGGTCCATTGGGAATGACAGTAAACTGATATGAATGTGCTACAATGAAAACGTACTACTGGAGTATTATATTTAGTAATGGAAACATTTTTGTAAGAGAGACACTACTGTTCAGCACGTGCTGTAAATTACAACTACAGCCCTTTGACATTCAGGACACAAATGGTTGGCTGCAGCTGTCCAAGTTGACTCTGGTTGACTGTGGTTGTAGCTGTGGTTGATTCTGCATGAGTGCGGTTGTAGTAAATGCTTGCTCGTCGTGGTTGACTTCATAAAATACAATTGTGGCTCTCGATGTGAGTGTTGTCAGACACGACACGCCACTTGCATGATTCAGAAGACACGTCTCATTCGATGTAGAACCCTCATCTCATTGGATTCACAAATCTCATTTCATACGCAAATCCTCGAGAGAATGTTAAACACATATGCTTCGCGACCAATATCATCCATAATATTTGTTTATGGGTTAGATCGCATAAATATATAAATGTGTTGTTAAATCCGCCACCACCCGCCACAGTCACTTAGGAAGGTTTGTCACGTAAACAAAACGTGCCAATTCGTTACTAGTACAGCACACCGGTGTGTTGGAGAGCAAAGCCACAACATTTACAATCTTGACTTAAAGCTTTCGTGACTGCAGGAATTCATATTCTTTGAGTCTTTCGGTAAAGCCACGTAGATAGAAAAAATGATCAAAGTAATGACAATATCACGACGTTTCGATCGCAAAACAAGCAATCGTCTTCAGGTGAAGACCATCAGGTGAAGACGATTGCTTGTGTTGCGATCGAAACGTCGTGATATTTTTATTATTTTGATAATTTTTTCTATCTACGTGGCTTTACCGAAAGACCCAAAGAATAACATTTACAAGCTGAGCACCGGTGTGCTGTACGAGTAACACATTGCCATGTGCTGTTTACGTGACAAACCTCACTAATTGGCTGTGTCGGGTGGTGGCGGGTTTAACGACACATTTATATATTTACACGATCTAACAACAAAAAAACCTCTCTCGAGAATGTCAATTCAAAGCGAGGGTGGACCCAATTGTTAAGACATTAACCCTGGCCACCGTTCGCTGTAACATTGAATCAGAGCGGCTCAAACGAGGGGGTCTCACATTGGATTGTTTGGCCAGCTCCTTAGTGTTGTGCAAGCGTGTACTCCGGTTTCCTTCCGGAGAAACCCAACACATGTGAAAGGCCACCGCAATGGGAAGAATGGTCTGCACATACAGGTTCACAGTGCCATTTGCTGTACTGTACCACTGTCGCCTCCCAAGTCACAATGTCACCTAAGCACACAATGTGCAATTTCGTGAGAATTTCTCCGGTCAAACCGCTGAGTGTGACAGCTCAAGTGTAATTGCTCGCACACAATGACTTCCCACCGCACCTCTCTGATAGAGATCGATAAGGGGTCAATTACTGTGAGACGTTATAAGTGCACTGTTCTATTTCCATCAATTAATCAATTAGCGGTAAGTCTTGTGACAAACGTTCTACATGTGACAAAGACCATTGCCTATTAACAGACTATTGGGGCAAGTGCTGTTAGCGAGCACCTATGAATCCTGGCACAGCACACGTAGGGGTGGGTGGCAAGCACCACGCCCGGCCGCCTTTGTCTCCCTAGTGGTGTCATTTACACACCACACCAGGTACTCATTTAAGGCGGAGTCGACCTAAGGGAGGCTCATGACCAGTTCAGATATTCGTCACTGGTGTTGGTCGTAGCGCAGCGCGCTAACCGCTACACTACCGCTCCCCCTTACACACACAGGTAGACACACAAAGATAAAGCTCCCCAAAATTGCCTTTAACAGACTGTTGGGGAAACTGCTGTTAGTGAGCACCCATCAAGGCTGTCACGGCACACGAGTAGATGGGTGGCCTGCACCACGCACAACCGCCTTTGTCTCCCCCATGATGATGTTTATGCCAGGTATGCACTTAAGGCTGAGTTAACATAGACGGGATCCCGGACAAGTTCACACATCACCGATTTTAGTTGTGGCCAGAAATGACACTAAAGTTGCCAGGGTTTTTTTATTAAATTTTTTTACCTTGAAAATACCGTGATATGGAATAATCCCGTTTGCCCGGGTGTCCAGGGTGAGTGTGTGCACCACTGCGCTCGCCCTCCCCGTAACGTGAAAATGATGGGGCTCGCGCTGCACCGTTGCTACCATTGTCACCCAGCAATAAAATGTCCTCGCTTAATAACAGAAGACAGCCCCATCATTTCAGTGTATCAGACTCCATTCAATGGGATAACCAAGAGAGGCTCACTCTTCTACCTGCTGCACACATCACTGCACCCTGCTCGTGCCAAGATGGCAACACCATTTTCACAGATTCTCTGGCTCCGTCGCTTGTGCAGCGACGGTGTAAACCTCCAACGATGAGAGGTTTCAGTAACAAAAGCCATGATGAAATCAAGAGGTAGTTAGACACGTCCTACCAACGTACCTCTTCAGTGGACACAATTATCCAACCAACCAGTTTAGCCTAAAGCCGCAGGGCATGATGGGATTTGTCCTGAAAACCCACCAATCAAACTGGACATGTGAGATAAAAAACAAGAGTTTTATAACCCATCGGATTTCTCCAGTATATATAAAATAAATATTCTGATTCTGAAATCTGGCTATCAAAAAAGTAATCCCTTAACATTTTTTTTCATAACGGAAGGAGCGACACAAGCACTGCAAAGATTCGTGTATCTGCGCATTGTAGGTCTCTGCGTATTGCAGATATACATTTGTGTATCTGCACATTGCAGATACACAAACAGATACACAAATCACAGGGACCTGCTCGTACACAGTGTGCCATGTACAACGCCAGCAATAGCACGAGCAAGCAGGCGCTTCCCCATGCAGCAGGGGAAAGGTGTAGCGAGTGAATACGCAGACCAAAAACAGCTCTTTGCGGAGCACACGTTTTTTTACACAGCACATTCGCTTTCTAAGTCAAATTGGACAGATACACAAATACAATTCGATGATAAATCACCCCCCGTAAATTCCTCTACCCCTCGTCTTGCAAGGTGAGGAATTTAAAACAGCTGCAGGAAAATTTGTTCTATGTCTTTAAATATTGCCTATTCCTATTCAAATCAAATTGGGCCTAGGAATGCAGCACATCTGTGCATTAGGCTTTGACCTCGATGCAACAGTTCTACACATAATGCTATGTGCTAGCGACATTTTATGATTTTTTTTATTTTAATGCAAATTAGTTGATTTCAAATAAAAATGTTGTTTATTGAAGGATTGAAACGATTACCCGTAATAGATGTTGTTTTGTTAGATCACATGAATATAATTGCGTCTTTAAACCCGCCACCACCCGACACAGCCAATTAGTAAGGTTTGTCACATCAAGAGAACATGCAAATTCGTTACAAGTTCAGCACACCTGTGTGTTGGAGAATAAACCCGCAACATCCACAATTCGAGTGCGGCATTTATATTTACGCAATCTAACCCAAAAACCTCTATTATGGATATTGGGCATGCAAGTCTACGTGTTAAAATGAAGTGATTGGTACTCAATAGCTACTAATAGGTAGATACGCACGGTTTTCTACGTATGGTGCAAAAGAAGTTCAACATACATGCATATGCCGAATTCAAAACGGTTCATCAGGAAACATTTCACAAGTAATTGTTAACAAGCCCCATTATGTAATGTTCAGTCTCGTGCATCTACGTAGATAGCAAAATAATAATAAATCTAAATAATAAAATTAAAATCCTAAAATTAAAATAAAAACCACAACGTTTCGATCGCAACACAAGCGGTCGCCATCAGGGGGGTTACCCTCTATGGCAGGAACCGGATAACCCAGAGGTAACCCATGCAGAAGATAACATACCGCTGCACTCACTTGCAGCCCTTATAATGCTATACACGTTATTGCTTGCCAAATTGTATCTCGATTGTGCAATTGGCAATTTTCCGACCAACTTTTATTTTAATGGGCAGCACTTATTCCAAAAAGAAAATGGAATTGGAAACCTGGCATGAGATATTTTTTTCCACAATTGGCGGTGCAAGTTCGAGATGTGGATGTTGCAAGGACGTGATTGATGACCAAATCAAGTGCTCCTTTTGAGGCGGGAATCTCATTTGCCATTGTAGACATCATTGTCAATACCCTTTTCCATGTAGATACGTCTGGAAGCACCAATTCAGGTTGACTAAAACGTCCTTCATTTCAATACATCAAAGTTTGTGCATTTACAGGTAAAAATCCACATTTTTTTTTACCGTAAACATACAGAACCGATGCCAAACCGTATCTGTTTGTGCTCTCGTACGCCAATGCTTTCATGTGGAGGAGGACCGATGGTATGGAGGATGGCTTGACAAATGTGGGAATCGGGAGGTTCGTAACAGTGGAGGAGGTGGCCTTCGATACCTGACAGGGGCCTCCGCAGAACCCAGATGTCCTCACTGGAGGAGGGGGACGGCTGTGCGGAGCCGCCCCCATCCGCCACCCGCTGGATGGATGGGGAGCCTGCCCGCCCGCACACGCGCACACGCACGCACGCACACACGCACGCACACGCAGACACACGCGCACACTCGCTCGCCAGGAGGCAGGCAGGCAGGCAGGCGGGCAGGCAGGTGGGCGGGCGGGCATGCAGGTAGCATGTCGCACAGGTTCGTAGCCAGGCAGGTGAGTCGGTCACATAAAGGTGGGCAGACGTAAGCAGATTGGAGGGACGTACAGGTGGGTGAGCACATAGGTGGGTGGGGTGTTAATGCAGGTGGGAAGATAGGTGGGGAAGGTGACAAGAGTAAGCAGACAGGCAGGTGAGATGGCCAATGCAGGTGGGCATATGGACGGGCGTGACGGTCGCAGATCGGCAGGTCATACGGATGTCAGGTGAGCAGGTAGGATGGCCACACGGATGCATTGGCAGGTGTGCACTCGCGTTGAATGCATGTTTACACACGCGCACAGGTATGTGTGTATGCACACGCACGCATAGACGCATGCACGCATGTGCAAGTATGCACGTGGGCAGGCATGCAAGGAGACTCATGAGCAATTGGACAATGCACACATGCACACACACGCACGCGCGCACGTGCAAACACACAAAGACACACACGCACACAGGACTGTTAACAGATACGTTTAACAAGAGCCAAGCACCTACAATTATGTCACTAAGAAGATATCCTAAAACGAGCATGCAATAATGCGTCCTCCATTCCGTTCACACGTACATACAGGGACTTGTGCGATGCATTCTCCCAAAGAACGAACGCAAAGCGTGTCCCTTGCATTGGCATTGCATTGTGTCTACAACAACAGCAGAAGCGGCTCGTAGAGAACGGTGCACAAGTGCGACTGCAATCTGAGATGTCCCATTCGTCTTGATAAAAATCCGTCCAAGGGTTAATACGGTCTTCGTGACAGCCCAGAAACGACTGCACTGCAATCCTGCAATAGCCGGAGCAATGCGTGTGTCAGAAGCCGCCTATTTATTTTTTCTGTCTCATTTCATTTGCTCTGTATTCATATTGTTCCATCTCAGTCCTGCCACGACATGCAACGTCTCTTTGGAACTCGCGCACAGCAGCAGCAGCGTCTGGCCTCTTGGTTAAGAGGGAACGCTCTCTGCCCAAGTTGATTTCTCAGAACCACTTCGATTCAGATCCCACCAAGTGTTCCCTTATCCTGGACGACTCACTTCACCTTCAACGCAAATGAGGTTCACGTCCTAATAATAAATTTTTGATTGTCATTATTGAAGGGTCTGTCTGTGAGTCAATGTCTAATATTAGGTCATTATTCACACGCAAATTGAAAAAAAACTTTCGTTGTGAGACGTATTAACATTTCTTTCTGATCAGTACACAGTGCAGTCTCTACCTAGTATTCACTCTATCTCTCTGGACTGTCTCTTTTGCTATTAAGGACCAATGCCCAAAGTTATATATTCATAATTTTAAGACAATTTTATAGTGTTGAGTCTGTTGTTATTTGTGCTTGTGCATCACTGCCAATGTAGCATCGCCCAATCAAATGCCGCATTTTTCATCAATATTTGGCTGAAAAACTATTAGGTGACGAATGTACTTCTCTTACTTGTGATGATTATTTATATATATTTGGAGGAATATGAGGGAAAACTGTGAAGTTATATTACTGTTCGGAAGGACGAAAATAAATTAACCAACATTTAGTCCTAAAAGCTAAACTTTAGGTTTTTTGTACATGTGTTTCTTAAACATTTAAACATGTGTGATGATTATTCTTTGGGTCTTTCGGTAAAGACATGTACTAAGGTTTAAAGAAAATAACAACAAACTACGACGTTTCGACCCCCTTTCCTGATGACGACCGCTTGTGTTGCAATCGAAACGACGTAGTTGTTTATTATTTTGTTCTATGGGAACCTCATTTGCCAGTAAAAATATGATAATTGGTTCTTTACCCTTCTATCTGGCAACAAAACTGACACCTTTTTACAAGGAGTCATGTTTGCATAGACCGCAATACCTGCAGTCATAATACAAACAAAAGAACATAACTCTGATAATGTGCACTGTCCTTAAAGTTGATTGGTCCACACCCGAGACAGCTTTCCTCGGGTGTGGACCAATCAACTTTAAGGACAGTGCACATTATCAGAGTTATGTTCTTTTGTTTGTATTATGACTGCAGGTATTGCGGTCTATGCAAACATGACTCCTTGTAAAAAGGTGTCAGTTTTGTTGCCAGATAGAAGGGTAAAGAACCAATTATCATATTATTTTGTTATTTTCTTTGAACCTATCTACGTGACTTTACCAAAAAAACCCAAAGAATATGAATTCCTGCAGTCACGAAAGCTTTAAGTCAAGATTTATGTGTGATGCTTTAATAAAAAAAGGTAATACGAGAGGTTTCTAGAAATTGGATGAGAGAACAATGGAGATAGACTCGCTAGGCCAAAGGCTTCATGGCCACGTTTCACATTTTCCTGCCCCAAATGATCTTTTTTTTTATCACAAAACTACATTTTGTTTTTATCTAGAGGCATCCAAACAGGTTTAAAAACAAATTAATCAGTTCCCCAATGCAAAGAAAATTCTCAAATGGATCTGTCTGCACTACTTTACCAGCGAAAGTTAAAATGAATTGAGTCTTCATTAACAATAATCGCTCTCTCGAAATAGACTTACAAATTACAAGATTGCCAACGCAGTATGTCTCTTATCTGTTATCACTCCCTTTGGAACACCGAGTGTTTGATCCTGTTCATGATTTCTTACCACACATTTAGGGGTGGAGTGATGCACTGCTTAATCGCCTTATATGGTTCGTTAAGCTCACGATCATCATCATATTCAGCTATAATTAATCCACTGCTGGATGAAGGCCTCATCGAGCCATCACTATCTCTCATGGCCCTGCAACATAACAATCCGTCTAGCGCAGGGGTAGGGAACGTCCGGCCCGCGGGCCATACGAGGCCCACGAAATCATTTGGTGTGGCCCTGCCAAGGCAACCGCAGGCGGGACTCGAAATGCAATACATCTCGGAGCAAACCTGGAAAAGCAGTTGCGAGTAGCAACATCATCAATACCAGCCAACATCACACGCCTCGCCAAAGAGAAGCAGTTCCAGCCATCACATTAGGGGCGAGTTAATTAAATGTTTGACCAAATATAACGGGCTAATTTTTAAATTGATAATTTTGTATGGCCCGCGAATGATGTTATAAATATCCAAATGGCCCTTGGCAGAAAAAAGGTTCCCCACCCCTGGTTCAGCGCCTGCACACGAGCTCAATTTAATCACTCCATCTCCCATGGGAGACAGCATCTTGGGCCCGTTCCCTCCATTGGCTGCACACTCTGCTCTCATTCTTGCCCACAGGCCATCCTCCCTGCGAGCGACGAGTCCTACCCGAGTCCAGTTACTTTTATGAAGTCAAAACGATGTCTTCGACCCGGTTGTGTATGTCCTCTAAGCCATGTGCTCCCCTTCCTGTGTCAATGGAAGCCCAAGCACACAGTCATTCAGAGTAAAAGCTCACGGTACATGCATCGAACTGCGCATGTGAAAATGCAGGTATGGCGACAGCCCCCATTTTTGCAGGCAATGGGTTCAAGGGACCCATCGAGCCACTGCAGGCTGCTACATTCACCGACATTAATCAAAATAACCAATTTTGAATACAATCGTGACCCTGAAACGCAATAATTATACTGCAAGGAGGGTACATATTTGCACCCCAAGCAAATGGAGAAGTTAGGCTTTGTTTTTCAGATGTCATCTCTGTTTAGATATACTTTTTAATGTTCTCTGAGAATTCTGCTGTTTGTATAGATGTATGTGTTCGACTGACACTGCACCAATTATCAATATTGATGATTTTCAACCTATTTTCAATCCACCGTTCAAGAGATGCCCCCGCCCCACAAAAATCCTTGTTGGCCATTAGAACAAAGCTCCCATACTAGACAATGCTGCTTCACGTAAATTGGTGAATGGGGGGGGGGGGGGGCGAGAAAGACCCAGGACCTTACTATCACAACACACCAAAAAACCGATCTGTAATGAACTATCACTCTTAGTAAAATGCACCATCACCAGAAGTGAGCCCCACCCCCTCTCGCCCAGCCCGTGAGCATTGTGCTTTGGGGGGCTCCTGCCCGTGGAATTGTGAGCGCCCCGATTTTGATTTTCATCGCTCGCACTTCGTACCAGGTTCTTGTAAAAACGAAACAAAAATCACCATCCAGCCCTCACACTCACAATAACAAGTAGGGAATTTTCAATGACAAAAGTAAAAACACGTTCATCATACAAACGTGTTTTTTTTAAAGATCTATTTAGAAATCTATGGAATGTTGGGAAAATGTTGTGAGTGAGCAGCTACTCAGAATCTTTATCAGAATCGTCATTTAGACCGCAGGGGGAGGAGGAATCCGCTGAACTACGAAGCGCTTTTCTTCTCAGATGTCCGGTAGAGGCGCGTCAACGAGTCACTGGGAACCAGCAGGCCGCACGAGAGGGTGGCGTGGACCAAACCAAATACACCGCGCAAGGGGAGGCCCACCGCTGGCATTTCGATGAACTTTCATCGATTTCAGGTCGCGCTTCAATGAAAGAATACCGATTGTGACGAATGGTGGCCTCTAGAGTGGTGACACGAACCCGTTATCTATACAATCAATGCATGGTATCGTGAGATTAAGAATCGACATCAATCGATAAATCGATCAATTGTTCCAACCCTGAGTATACTCCCATCCACCTTTGTCTCTTCACTGCGCATACTGACGACCGCAAAGCCGCACCACATCCGATTGGCACGGATGGCTACATACGGTGCTAAAGAAGTGCGATATAGAAACACAGTCTAACATTCAGTCCGAGTGAACATAGTGGAAATGCCCATCGTGGCCAAGAATCGAACCCAGGTTATGGGGCCGTCCATAAATGACGTCTCGCGATTTTGGACGATTTTTTACCCCCCCCCCCCCCCTTTGTCACACGGCGTCACAAAAAG